CCCCGGATGGCTTGAGTCGTATTAAAAGGTCCTGCCCGACCCCAAGGTTGTGGGCTCCATCTCGCCCGACCTCGAGGCCACGGGCTCCGTCTTGCCCGACCTCAAGGCTGCGGGCTCCGTCTCGCCCGACCCCTTAGGGGCGGGCTCCGTCTCGCCCAACCCCAAGGACGCGGTTTTCGTCTCGTCCGACGGGGACCCATACCGCTGCCAACCACTCCAGGTCCAAGCGTATGGGCCTGGGTCAAAACTCTAACGCCAGGGAAGAGGCTAGCATGCCTCGATGTAATCCGTGGCCATGACGGGCTATACCTGGGGATTCACATCAAGAACAGTGTCGGGCGTGGCGGTGCTGTTCTGCCTAATCCTCGTACGGACGTTGATAGGCACGTCAGTTCACCACGACGTCCACCGAGACGGAGTGGAACGCCATGACCGGCAGATGACGCCTGCACATGGCGTCAGTGACGAACAGGGCCACGACATGGAGCCATCCCTGTTGACATCTACAGGATCGGCGGGACCTACATGAAGGAGAAGAAGGACCCGACAACTCTGGATGCCTTCTTCTCTCTCGTTCTTCTCATTTTCCTCCTCTGTTACCCACGCTTCCCTTCGCCTATAAAAGGAGAAGCAGGGCGCCCCATAAAAAGGGGGGATGGGGACACGTGAGATCTGGACACAAGAGCACGACACGAGCACACAGCTGAGCGGTAAGCGAGCTCTCAGCACCCGTTCATTCCTTCCACCAGAGACTTGGGATCCTCTTTCTCTCTCGCCTGTTTGTAACCCCTACTGCAAACCAAGTGCCGGTACCACGAGCAACAGCGAACTAGACGTAGGGACGTTTTGCCCGAACCAGTATAAACCCTTGTGTCCTTCGAGCACACCATCCGAGCCAGACGCGCAAATACAAATTTACTCGTCGGTGGTCTGAAAACACCGACAACACTCTTACATTGCATTGACATAAGTGGTTTATGGCAAATTTTGTTTATGGACACCGTTCCGTCATGTAATTTATCAATGCACACTGACAACTCTAAAATTTGCCCATATTTCTATCTAACTTTTTTGCCCACTCGGGAATCGTGTTTCTTTGTCATAGACACCACACGTAATAAAATTTATTCAACATCAGTAGAGAAAAGGGGTATAAAAGTTCTTTTTTGCCATCCATTCTGTCTATCTTGTTCTTCCTCTGTCCCCGTCATTCCTTTCTCGTGTGAAAGGTCCTAATGGCTAGAGGGGGTTGAATAGCCTATTAAAAATTTCTACAACAACACTTAGCAAACCGGTTAGACAAATATGAGGCGAAGCGAGTGTTGTGCTAGCCTACTAAAAAGCAAGTCACCTACCACAATTCTAGTTTCTATAGTCTCTATCCACACAATGACTATGTTACTATACTAAGTTAGTGTGCTCTCAAAGGCTAACTAAAGAGCCACATTAATCAAACTAGCAAGCTCTCACGACTAGCTACACTAAAGAGCTTGGCAACTAGTTTGCGGTAATGTAAAAAGAGAGAGCAAGATGGTTATACCGCTGAGTCAAGGAATGAACCAATCAATCACAATAATGAATACCAATGAAGACCAATCGCATCGAAATCAAATGATGACACAATGATTTTTATCGAAGTTCACTTGCTTACCGGTAAGCTAGTCCTCGTTGTGTCGATTCACTCACTTGGAGGTTCACGCGCTAATTGGCATCACATGCCAAACCCTCAATAGGGTGCCGCACAACCAATACAAGATGAGAATCACACAAGCCACGAGCAATTTACTAGAGTACATTTTGGCTCTCCGCCAGGGAAAGGTCAAGAACCCCTCACAATCACCACGATCGGAGCCGAAGACAATCACCAACCTCCGCTCGACGATCCTCGCTGCTTCAAACCGTCTAGGTGGCGGCAACCACCAAGAGTAACAAGCGAATCCCGCAACGAAATACGAACACCAAATGCCTCTATATGCAATTACTTAAGCAATGCACTTGAATTCACTCCCAATCTCACAAAGATGATGAATCAATAATAGAGATGAGTGGGAGGGCTTTGGCTAAGCTCATAAGGTTGCTATGTCAATGCAAATGGCCAAGAGGGAGAGCTTGAGCCAGCCACACACCTTTAAATAGAGCCGCCAACGAAAAAGAGCCGTTGGGCTCACAAAGCACCCTACTGCGCACCGACCGAACGCGCAGGTTGGGACGACCGGACGCATGCCACCCAGCGTTCGGTCGTGCGATGCGCGCCATGTGGCCCCTCGGTGTAACCTCGTCCACACGATCTCAATGGTTAGTCTGCTTCACGCCACGTGTGAAGTTGCGATCGGACGCGCTGCTCAAAGTGACCGGACGCTCCATCACTGGAGTCCGGTCGTTTCCAGTAAGGTTTTTCACGACCGGACTCGTCCGGTGGCTCATGACTGGACCTAGGCCAGCGTTCGGTTAACTCAGTCTCTCTCTGTTGCTACATCAGCGTACGTCACTAGGTGACCGGATGCACCCCCTGCGCGTCCGGTCCCTGTTTCTCTTCAGCGTCCGGTTAAGGGACTGAGGGCGGCTTTCACTGCGCGCCACTGGCCGGACGCGGGGTCAGAGTCCGGTCACTGCCCAAGACAGAGTCCGGTCAATATGAAACTTTTCCTTTTGACCCCGAACTTTACCACCCTTGATTAAATGTGCTAACCACCAAGTGTATCACCTTGTGCATGTGTGTTAGCATATTTTCACAAATATTTTCAAGGGTGTTAGCTTTCCACTAGATCATAAATGCATATGCAATGAGTTAGAGCATCTAGTGGCACTTTGATAACCACATTTCGATACGAGTTACACCCCTCTTAATAGTACAACTATCGATCCTAAATGTGATCACACTCGCTAAGTGTCTCGATCACTAAACCAAAAAGTTCCTATCAATTTCACCTTTGTCTTGAGCTTTCTGTTTTTCTCTTTCTTCTTTTTAAGTCCTAGCACTTGATCATCACCATGGCATCACCATCATCATGATCTTCACTGTTGCTTCATCACTTGGAATAGTGTTACCTATCTCATAATCACTTTGATAAACTAGGTTAGCACTTAAGGTTTCATCAATTCACCAAAATCAAACTAGAGCTTTCATCGTAGCAACGAACACACACTATCACCATGAGCACCTCTAAAAGATTGAGCCAACAAATCCATATGCTTCTCGCTATCGAGGCACATGTCATCTATCACTGAGAAATAACGTTGTTAAATTCTAGTATAAATTTAGGAAACTGTGAGCACTCCTATCAATCAATGACTTAAACTCAATTGAATAGCAGTTAAATTCCCGTATAAATTCAGGGGAAAATGAATATTAAGACAAGGAATTAAACCTGACTGGACGGGTACCACCGTATAACGAGCCAAACTACACTATGTTCATCGAATATCTTGTCCATACAAGACCATTTCTAATGGGATGGAAATGTTTATTCCAGAACTCGAAAAAAGTATTGGCATCCAGTTCGCATTTAACACAACAGTCATATAACTTATTTCCACCAAAACAATTGTTTGAATACATTACTAGGCGTTTAATAAATATGTTTAATTGCAGTTTTAAAATGGGGTTTTGAGTATGTCTACACATGTTTCATGTTTATTAAGCCCACCTAGTTTGGAGGGGTGTATAATGAGCTGACTACATTTTTTTTTATTTTTTTTAATTTAACATAATCTTACTGAGTATAGTCATTTGATTTGTTTGAGGCCTAACTTTGAACTTAGTTTAACATGTCAAGCTATAGTCAAAAGTCATTCAAGATCAAGTTATTTTGATTTTAAAAAATAAGTTCAATGAGAATAATCTTAAAACAAGCTATCCAAAGTTTTAAAAAAAGCTATAAGCACAACAATTTATGTGGTTCTAAAAAAAACAACTTCTTATGTCCGGACTTAGACCCCAGTCCCCAGAACGACACTCAAGTCCAGACGTAGGAATGGGATGGTGGTGACTCTAGTATGTGGGATGGGACGAAAACGGGATGACTTTATTTTCTGTTTGGTTGAGGATGGTTTTCTGTTTTGTTAAAGAGGGATGGACGAACCTATTTTCTGTTGGGTAGAAAGGACGAAGAGGATGAGATAGATGATGGATTTAACACCTTTAGCCATGGTTATAGTTGGACCCACGTGTCGGTCTTTGTAGCATTTTTTCTCTTATATTAAAAAAATTGCTGACAAATCTCATACATAAAAAAGGAAAAATTTCTCCCAAATCTCACCCATAAAAAAACCTCCACGCAAATCTCAAAAATAAAAAAAATCCTCAACTCAAATCTCACGGACATGCTCGAGACCGCGTCGGAGCTCGCCGCCGCAGCCCCACGCCCGCATCGGAGATCGCCCCCACGCAACCCACGCCTGCATCGCAGCTCGGCCGGACGCGGCCCGCCCGGCTCCGCTTGCCCGCCCCACCCCGGCGCAGCTCGGCCGGCCCGCCCTGCAGCGGCTCCGTCCGCACGCCCCTGCCCCGGCGGCGCTCTGCTGGCCCCGCCCCGCCTCGGCGTAGCTCGGCTGGCCGGCCCTGCAGCGGCTCCGCCCGCACGCCTGCTGCACCGGCGCCGTCGACCGCCCTCTGCACCGGCGCCTCTTGTCTCACCAGGTACGCGTGCGAGACGGAGAAACACGCCGTTGACAGGGGACGTCCCCGTCCCCTCGATTTCAAGGGACGGGGGTCACCCTGATCTCAGGCGAATATTCTCAGCAGGGGCGGCTCCGTCCCACTTCGCCCCTGAACCAAACGCTAGGAATCCGAGGATCGTCCCGTCCCATCACAAAACCCTACCATCCTCTCCCAGCAGCCAAGTCTTGTCTCCCCCTCCTCAAAGGAAATGCTATATTTGCAGAAAGGCCCCCGTCCAAGTCCAACAGCCCAAAACAAGACAACACTCGGAGGGCTTTCCTGCAAGTTTGTTCGGGAGCGGCAAAGCACTAGGGCATCCACCTCGGCGGTGGCGGTCTTCATGTCGATCCCCTCCGGCAACGGCAACGGCAACGGCGGCGGTGGCGCCTCCTCCGCGCTCTACGACTTGTACGGCCCTAACGTACGTGCTGTCTTGCTTCTTCGCCTCCCTTTTCCCCCCTCTCGGAATATTAAGGTTTCGGTGTGGTGTGACATGAAGGGGAATTTGTCATCAAGTAGAATTGAGTTGGTCCGTTATTGGAAAAGATCGCATTTTTAAGTTCTCCTCGATGTATGGCAAAATTAGAGGTGCTGCAGCCAGCAGGTGGTTGGTTTTAGCTGCGAGTATGTTAATTTGATTGTTTGGAATTCTTCGAGTAGGAGTTCTGCTGAGATTGAAACAGGGGATGTTGCATTGCATCACGACTGATGGGACTGTGATTGATATCGATGTTGGCTGAGTTATCATGGGATTTGTAGTGTGGGTGGGATTTTGTGTAAATGCTTGCTACTGTTGGTGGGCGTGAACTGTACCTATGAAGTTTGCACTGTTGTTTCAAAGCACATTTGTGCAAATGGATGTTATGGATGTGAAGCAGTGCTGATTGGTTGGGAAACTTCAAGGGCTTACTGGATCGATCCATTGATCAGCCTTGAGCTGGAGGACACAGCTTGAAAACTTTCGTAGCTTGTTCACTTAGGAGTTTTATACTCTGAATTTCGAAGGTGTGAACCCTGACTGATTGCTTGATGGGTAGCAAAGTGGGTCTTCTCTTGTTCAAATAGTAAAGTGATACTGCACTTGCAGTAATGCTATCTGTACTCTGTGTTCAGACTTCAGAGCCTGCTCACCAACTTAGGGACCGCTCATCATACGGACTTTCTTAGTTGAATCCAAAATCACTTGTTTGTACTAGAGCTATCGACATGGCATAATAATTGACTATTTGGTGATGGCATGCTGCCTATTTATTAATTTAATAGTGTACTCTCAAACCTTCATTTAGTCGAAAAGTTAGCTGTTAGCTGTCTTCTTGTTGGTGAATCATTCTTGTGCTGCTGCCTGCTTACTTTGCTAATAGACATTTTAGCTTTATTTATTTATTTATTTTCTGTGCTTCCAACTTATACTGTCTCTTCTTGTTTGTCCTGTCCAGGCGAAGCCTGATGTTGTTTTTAAGGAGGCTGCTTTAAACTCTACATTAAATCTGCAGGTTCGTTCATAACAAAAGCTCAATGAAATGTGGCTTGTGAAAACTGTTCTTGTTCTTGTAGTTTAGTAAAGAGCCATATTGTTGTAATGCAGGATGTTCAGGGTCTAGTTACTTGGGTTATTGGTGACGGCATGCTGCCTTCTTGGGTGTTTGTTAAGGTACTTGTCCTTCTGATTGTGCGTTTTCAAACATGTCTTGCTTTTTTGAGGTATTGACATGTTATCTTAGTTTCAATTTGTAGAGCTTGGTCTTTTCTTGCTGTTGTCTTCATCACACTCAATGAATCTTAACTGAGTTTTTTTCACTGCACTTCAGTGATCAACCCACTCTTCAATGCATTTGATTTCTTCTTCTATTAGTTGTATGTTATTTGTCACCTTTCACAAATATTAACTATCTTTATTAACACTGCAAATATTCCTGATGTTGGTTTTCAGAACAAACCTCTTATACCCAAAGTCGTCCTACTATATGTTCCTGGCCTTGATGCAGCTTTATATATGTCACAAACTCGACTTCTTTCTTCTCTGAAAGAATTATGTGGCAATCCAAAACCTGTTCTAGCTTCAAGGTTTGTGCATTTTGTGTTATTGTCTACAGTTAGGGAAAATGTATAATTTCTTCCTATATGATTGCTAATGTAATCCTTTTCTAGCAGCTGTATACCGGATGAGCGGCACACCATTGATGCGCTCCTAACCTGCAGAGTAAAGAGAAAGCGTGATGTAAAAACATCAAATCAGTCATCTAAACCTGGCATGGATGGTATGTATTGACTTCTTGGCACTGTGTTGTCATGTGGTTCAGGATGAACAATGTTCTGCTTTACTGGGCCTAGTGTTGGTCTGTTATTATTGTGATAGCCACTGGAAGATTTGAGCTTAATTATGAAGACTGGCATGTTTTTTTTTTTCCCAAAAATGCATGAGAGTTGGCCTTCTTTATTTCAAAGATTCTCATACTGATTTGACAATTTCAATCCTTTTGTATTGCCCTTACTTGGTCACAAGTTTTTCATTTTAAGTTGACATTACAGATGATGATTTTTTTCTTTATACCCTTCTCTAAATATTAATTGTGTTTTTATCAGTCATGTTTCATCACAAATGTACTGTCATTATGGCATCTTGCATAAGTTTACGACTATAGCAGTATTTCCCCCTAACTCATCTTATAGTATCAGCCATATACATCTCTTGCTGACCACTTATTATCTGCTTCTCTAATCTAAAGATGCTCTCTTATTTCTGTAGCGATTTATTCTATTTATTTGTTGTATATGTATGTTTATTGACATTAGAGTAGATATGACTTTGTACATGGAAAAAAGGCACTTTTGAACCTAGATTGAGAATATGTTTTGTGCAACTGGTTAATGTTTTCATTTCAGTCTCAGGAAAACTATCAAGTCTGGATGATCTTGGGGACATACCATTTCCTGTTACATATTACACACTTTCGGAGAAAGACTTGGAAGATAATGGCTACTCGTTCAATTTGCCAGGTTACCTTCTATCCTTCTGTTCCAAAATGTAGGCTGTTTCAGTTTTGTCCTAAGTCAAACTTATTTGGTTTTGTCCAAAATATTGAAAAAAAATAATTGCACCATAAAGATGTTTCGTGGTGGGTTTATTGAAAATAATTTGTTATTGTCGATGCTGGTGTATTTTTCTATAAAATTGGTCAAAGTTAGAGAAGTTTAATGGATGAAACTGAACCATCCTTTTCCCTTTCCCTTTAATGCCTATTATTCAAATGACATCTGTTTATCATTGCCATTTTAGGTTTTGTCCCTACTGTTTCAGCTCCTTCAGGTTCCTCGCCACATAAAGTTCTTGCACTTGATTGTGAAATGGTAACGTGACTCCCGATAACTGTAATGATGTATGGTTTGAAGCCATTGCTTTGTTTTAAAAAAAATTCACTACTGTTTTAGTGTTATTATCTTAGAGAAGGCATTACTATTATTGTTACAACTGTGCTGAACTGCCGGTATCATAAATACTTATTGCTAATATTTGTTATATTTAGTGATAATTTGCAACATTTGCAGTGCGTGACGGAAGCTGGATTTGAGCTTACAAGAGTGACATTAATTGATATTAAAGGATCGGTATGAACTTTTCTTTCCTAGTTTCCGTACCTTTTTCATGGCATATTTCTCATTTCTCTGTGAGTTCTTACAACAATTGTTTTCTTAGTGCTTAATTCCACCTCCTGTCAATAGTATGAGGACATTTTCCTTTGTATGCTCCTGCATGATCAATTCTTTTCATCACACTTTGCTGTTCAATAAGTTCTGACTTTGTTCTAATCTTTTCAGGTTGTGCTAGATAGACTAGTTAAGCCTGCTAATCCAATCATTGATTACAATACAAGGTATATGGTGCTTTCACCTCCCCTTTATGGTTAGTAGCCACTATATTGCGTTTTTTGTGCCAACTTTTTCTTTTGACACGGTTATTTATAATATGGTGTCAAAATACATGTCAGATGTATTTTGATGCTTGTCCATTCTATTATGAATATTAAAGAACTGATTATTTGTTACATGAACTTCATTTGCCATAATATTCTGAACGGGTTGTTAAGTGTCCATTATGTGATGTAATTGTTTTTTAATAGAGCAGGTTCAGTGGAATCACTGCTGAGATGTTGGTTGACGTGTCCACAACCCTACAGGAAATTCAGGTTAATTCTTAGATTCTTTTAGTGATATTTTCATATGTGTACATTAGGATGTCATGAAACATTGCCTGTGCTTTACACTGTTTTGTTTGTGTTTCCAGGAAGAGTTTGTTGGACTTGTATATAAAGAAACAATTCTTGTTGGACATTCTTTGGAAAATGACCTTATGGCATTACGGATATCCCATGGTTTAATCATCGATACAGCTGTTTTGTACAAGTATAATCGAGGGTCTCGCTGTAAGATTGCTTTGCGTGTCTTGACAAAAAAATTCCTTGGCCGGGAGATCCAGAACACAGGATCTGGGCATGACAGTGTGGAAGATGCCAGAGCTGCTCTAGAACTTGCTATATTGAAAATAAAACATGGTAAGAATTAAGAAGGCATTTTTGCTATCGCTTTTGTTTGGTTAACATCGATTTCTGTAAATTGCTAATGTGAATAGGGAGATAACATGGCATAAGCATATCATTTTGTTGGTACTTTCTAAGAACTTGTTAACCAGGTCCTGATTTTGGTTCCCAACCATCGTTGTCAAGGCGGAAATTGACATCTATACTGCATGAGAGTGGGAAAAAATGCTCCCTTATTGATGACGTGTCTATTCTAGAGCGGTATTCAGATACTTCTTGCAATTCAATTGCTGTTTTTTCTGATGATGATGCCCTCTCCAGATCAATGAAGGAGGTTGGTGCAATGCATTTGTAGGTGTAGACATTCTTCCCAAAATGTTTTAAGATGTTTTCATAATCATAAGTTGAAATCCTACTGCAGGTGAAGAATGACAAAATGGCTTTCGTTTGGACTCAATTCTCAGGATTGATCTCTTACTTCCGCCGAAGAGTTCAAGATCCAGAAAAGTTGAAATCATGTGTCGCAGAGGCTATTGCATTAAAAACATGTGATGCAAAAACTGCTTCAAAAAAAGCAAGAAGTCAAATTTGTCCTGAATTAAAGGAAATTTTGTGTGAATTGGATAAAAAGATAAGGCAATTATATGGGGCCCTACCTGATAATGCTATGCTTATTGTATGCACTGGCCATGGTGATACTCCTCTAGTACAAAGGTAAAGTTACTCATGGTAAATCGTCAATATATAGTTTCTCATGGCAAATTGGCAATACATAGTCATGGCAAATTGGCAATGCATGTACCTTTTACCTTTCTAGTATAATTGGTCTGTTAAGATACAAGTAAAAGATGCTCACAAGCTATTTTACATTACAAAATTATTCTCCCACGTTACCTTTAGTAGCACCAGTTTGTCTTGTAGAGCTGTTCTATTGCAATTGCTTACTGAGTGATGAAATCACTATGCTGCCTTTAGGGCCACTTTCTGTTAGTTGCTTTGTGGTGTGCTTCATTGTTGAATATAGTTTAGTTGGATGAATCTTACTTATTCCAATATAATTGCTACTATAGCTCCAAAAATGATGCTTATATAACCCACATTAAAATTTGGATGTTAATGCATATGCAATGCCAAACGGATATACATAGTAACTGTGCTATTTCATGAAGATTACGGAAAATGCTTCACCATGAAGAAGAAACAATAGATAGCCGGGAAATTATTGTTCAAGCTTTGGGAGATTTACAAGCCCAAGCCGAAGTTGCTCTATGCTTCTGCTGCATTAAACATTAATTGTAAGTATCTTTATGCCCTCCTTTCCTACATGTTTTTTTTTCTGGAAGCAGAACAGTGCACCGTTCTGAATTGTTTTGTTGACAGGCATCTTTGAATTAATGTACTGATGGATATGGCTTCAGCGATTATAGAAGGGTGTCAGGCATGCAGGCTGACCTGTTGATGTGAAAAGTTCCGGCTGATATAGATTTTGTGGATTGAATTCTGAAAGATGTACTCATGCTACCTTTTTTGTCAGGCTAGGATTAGGCTGTAGATGTCGGTATAGGGCATAGTGATGCATTGTCGGAACTGGTCCATCGGTAGCAAGCAGCGTGTCAGCACATTGATAGCATCCGTTTTCAGATGAATATATGGATTACAGAGGAATGTAGGAAACTGTTGTAACAACCATATTATTGTGATATTAATAATAATATTAAATCAAGTTCTGGAATCCATAATACTATGAGCCTTGCCATTTACAGTTGCGAAAAATGTAGCAAAGCTAAAGTGCATACAAGCATATCAAACCATGTTTTGCAATTCATAATATGGCCCTTACCATTTACACTCGAGGAAACTGTGTTAATGCTTTTAGTGGTTTAATTTTATCGCTCCAGGGGAAGAAAATTGTTTTGGGCATTAACATGGTGCCTTCGAAGCAACTTTTGTTATTTGTTTCACCTGTGAGTCTTCGAAGCAGCTTTTGTTATTTGTTTCACCTGTGATATGTTTGTATTGTTTTAGATAATGGAACGAGGTAAAACATAAAGAAAGAACTTTAGCCACTGCTGACAGAAGTGCGGTAAATGACAATATGACACGTGAACCTGATCCTGATGCAGCCAGATGCCTGAGGAACCCCAAATACGGGCAGCTATTGAGTTCGTTGACCCCAAACTGTTGTTGATGGACAGAAGATCAGAGCTGAATTCATTCATTAATTTATGGCTAGACCAGGATGTTATGGTTGCTTGTTGCCTTCACTCGATCTTCATGTGGGTTAGTTGTACGATACAAAATTGGGTGTAGTTCTGGAGCAACTACTCCCTCCGTCCCTTAATAACTGTCAAAGTTGATGTATGTGCCGTAAATTTTACTCGATTTATAGAAAATACATGCAACATTTATATCTCCAGATAAATTTATTAAAAAAATTAGATTCAAAGATCTTTTCAACAATACTAATTATATACCATAAATATTAATATTTTTAATATATATTAAGTCAGAGTTCTCGGAAAGCGAAAACGACAGATATGTAAGGCCGGAGGGAGTAGGTGGCTTTCTTAACTTCGGTGACAGAAATATTAGTTACCTGTTCATGACTGCTCTCTGGAAAGTTCTTAAATTAGTTGATGGTGTACTTGCAACTCATGCTGGCTTGGCTTGTTTCGAGGAAGAATAAGTTGGTGGCAGGAGAGAGACGAACGTAGATGGGAGCATGATTGATCGAGTTGTTTGCCATCACTAACTTTGGGTGCGTTTGGTGCAGCTCCCGGCGGCTCCAGCCATAGGCAGAGCTAGCTAGGTGGCACGTTGTGCCATGGACCACCATAGAATATGGATTAATGTTAAAACTACAGTATATGTGTTCTATAATATAATAAATATTGTATTTAGAACACTATTATTTGGCTCATTACATTTAGTTGGACCACCCTTGCATTAAACCCTAGCTACGCCACTGGCTCCAGCTCCTTCCCTGTAGGTAGTGATGGAGCCAGGAATTATGTATAAGGGGGCCGATTGAAGAATTTCAAAATATGAGAATTGACTGCAACTTATTTGTTTAGATTTTTGTCTCGGGGTTACGCTCCTATATTTCTGGATTTATTTTAGTATTTGACGATTTTACCATGCTCGCTATTCTTCACATAGTAGACGACCGTATATATCGACAGTGGGGCGCATGTGATGACTCATGAATATTGAAATCTAGCAACTTAGTATTTCGGAAATCCTCAAACCCATGGTAGGTGTTTGTCGATAACGGGGCACATATGATTACTCAAGAATCTTGAAATCTACGAGCTTAGTATTTCGAAAGTGCTCATAGTGGGGTAGGACGTGTATTTGATCATAGTAGTGTGTGTACGTGCATGTACGTGAACGTCTACATTTATACTGTGATTCACAATAAAAAGGAATGGTCATCGAATTGTTATTGCTAGTTAAATACGTGTTCAATAAAATATGGAATATAATGAAACATAAGTATTTTAATAAACCAAAAAATTAATAGATATATCCTATATGGAAGGCAAAACAAATTTAGATAAATCAAGTTATTTTATTCTAATTATATTCTATGTGATTTTATTGTCTAAAAGATATCAATAAACATTATAACAAGATTTCTTTATTATACTCTTTCAATAAACATTATATCAATAAACATTATAACAAGATAGATTATTTACTATATATATTATATATAAAAAATTTGTATCGTTAGGGGGGCCATGGCGCACGCTGGCCCCCCTTGGCTCCGTATGTGTCTGTGACGAAGCCAGCCGGAGCACCGAAAACCCAGCTCCTTGGGCTCCTCTCTGGTGGCAGGCGGAGCCGGAGCCCATTTCACGCAGCGCACAGTGAAGTACAGGATCATACAGTGCGAGTGCATGTAGAGCCAGAGCTGCGGAAGCTGCGCCAAACGCGCCCTTATATTGTAAGAAATATTTTCGATGCCTTTTTATAAAAGAAATGCCATGTGCATTATAGAAGACATCTGAAATGCTAGTGTGAACTGATAATGGAAATTCAAGTAGCCTGAGATGATTCAATAATTTCTGCAGGAATGCACACAGATGTAAATGTGTGATAAATTCTCGAAACTAAGTCCGCCACGTCTAGTCAGCTGCTTGACCATAATCGATTGAACACATCGATTAAGAGCTCCAACAAACCAATCTCATGGACTTAGAGTCCGTTTGGGATTGCTCCACAATCTCTAGTCCACAAATACCTAAAAAGGGGTTTCAGAAACTTCAGATTTTCTTTTCTAGAGCAGAGTTTGTGAGGCTGCACATGTTTAGCTAAAAAGCATGGTGCATGGAGCTGTCCCAAACAGGTCTAAAACAGAAACATTATATGAGTTGGTTAATTAATTTACATGACCATGAATGTTTCAACAAAAGTGAATCACCTGTCCGTATGCATGCAGGAGCTATATCCCCAACTCATTCACATTGATGAGGTAGAACAAATCTAGTTGGTTTGTACAAGTGTATCATTCACACTGAACCAAACCACCGCATATATATAATTAAGTTGGTGTGAACCCAGTTGTTTATACCATAACATAACTTGCATGGTCAGTTGTCGAGATGTACTTTGGTTAGCTCGATAGTTTTCTTAGTATCCTTTTTTATCCTTTGGTCACTGGTTGGTTGTCCCTCTCAGTTCAACGTCGTTGCCTTTAATTTCAACAGGAATGGTTTTAACTAAGGCTTCTCCTTGCTCCTCCTTTTGAGTCAGCCTACTACTATAAATATATGACAATGGTAACCGTACCTTCGAAGCCCAGAAAGTAACCTCAACTTATTTTGTAGATAAAAGGAAAAAGGTCATTTCAGCTACAAAAAGTAAAATAGAAAAAACCTTTATCCCAACTATGCATTTGCATTTACCACCTGAAGCAACATATATATATATATATATATATATATATATATATATATATATATATATATATATATTTATGGAATACTTATAATTCCAGTCTGCAGTATTTCCCTTTTTCGCCTGCTATAAGCAGATGTACAATTGATCTTCTAACGTTACCTAGCAAAATGAATTTGTTTTTTGTTATTGGTCAGCCATATGGTGTTAGCTAATAACTATTGCTATTGGTTTTGCCATATGACAAATGCTAAATTATTGGACTTGCACAATACTGACTTGCCAGCCTCTGAACTGTCTTTTCATTCATAGTTTCACCAGACACGAAACTACTTGCGCAACAACACTTCATTCATCTAGTCCTTCCATTTGTCCAACTCCATACCAGTTTTTGCAATAAACAATACTACATTCTTAGAAATCCAAGTCATGCTTACAGTGTCATGAGACTCTTAAGCTTGGATTTGGTAACCATAAATGTTTTTTCTATTACCAGCAGTTGCAACGATGCTTTCATGTTTCAATGGTTATCATGATCTTATCTGGGAGAAAGCAACATAATTATCAAAGTAACTATTAAATGTTCTATTCTTCACATACAATACATTCTAATCAGTGTAAGTATTCGACATGACAAACGAATATACATCAAAACTTTGGTCTTTCTGTGAAAGGGCCTATAGCCTAGTAATTACAAGAGCTTTAGTAGCATCTTAGGTCCTGAGTTTGACTCCTTCTGGGAGCAAAATTTTCAGGATTTAACTCCATTGTGCTTTCAGTGGTAGACAATGTTCCCGTCGACAGCGATGCGCCTATGGTGACTTCATTAATCTCAAGGATTTGTCAGCAGCCTGGTCTTCGAAGATGCTCATAGGGTAGGGGGTAGGGTTTGCGTGTGTTCATAGGTGTGAGTGTGCGTGCGTTGTGAATATCTGCATTGTACTATGTAATTCACAAAAGAAAAAACTTTGGTCTTTTCTATAAAGACTCCCCATATATTGTTTGGTGTGTATTGATAGCAAGGCCTGAACAAATGATAAACCAATTATAATTCTAATGCCAAATGCTTACATGTGGTTCCACCAATAATAAAATCACAAAGTTACAGCATCAGCATCATTAACTCCCTTTTAAACGATAGTGTAACCAATGCAAAAAAAATGCATTTACTACCAACAACAATAATCATGTTAAACTTAGTGGAAGTTTGTTGCACATGCCACTTATTTTGTTATTAGTGTGTCGACTCTTCTTTCTTGCGCCACTTCTCTAATGCAAACTTGTCACATTTAGGTTATTTTGTTTCCCTCTTTTTTGTTCCTCATACGCATCTCTTTCCTTTCCTTTTCTTTCATATATAAATCAAATCTGTTGAAACTTGTATTTTATAAGGCTTCAGGGTGCAACCACCTTGCTCAAAGAACCTAGTGCTTCCATGCTCACCTAGTTACTTGGATTACTACTATTTATATATGCATGATTGTATAATGGAAGAAGGGAGCTGCAATACAGCCTGTATCAAAATTAACGTTTTCTAGGTGTAACTTGCAGCGTTCGTAAAGTTATTAATTTGGAACAAATTAACAGCAGAGTGAAACAAACTCACTAGGGATATTGCTAGCTGCTTATAGATTATAAATAAACACAAAAGTAATCCCTTGATATGTATGCGTGTACATTATTAGCTAGCATGCTAGTCCGATGAAATTAATTAAAGACACTGCTATTTTACTGGCGCTCAAAATTATTGATAAATACGTAGCTAGCTCCCATGGGAAAAGACGATGTTATCGATCTGTCCTGAGGAAATTGTGCAGAAATGAACAAGATCATAAAGACGATGACGCTGATGACCCATGAGGCGTAGATGCAGATCGGCCATCAGTTTGCCTGCCCTACTAATCCAATCTACGAGATCGAGAAAATATCTCGATCGGTGAGATGACGAAAGAATATTGTTAAGGAAGTTAAGCATGCAAGACGCTAGCTACTAGTCTCCAGTCTGACGATCGAGAGCTGTGACTGACACAGGATATATAGCTTGTTATTGGCCAATTGCTGCTGAACACGCAGAGATGCATAGATGAGATGTGATAGCATTTCTGTACATATATATATAGCTGGGTATGTATATCCGCAAATAAAGTTCATAGGTGGTGGATCGAAAGAGAGGCCTGTTAAGCCGCTCTCTTGTCGTGCAAAACTAAACAAGAGTGTGACCTCCATCCAAACCTTAAACGAACGAACATCCTATTTACCAGATTCATCTCCAAGCTCTCTCGTCATTCATTACTTAGTTCTTTTGGCTACTAGCTTTGTCTTTGATCAGTCCAGCTAATGGAGAAGTCGAGGGCCAGGCTATCGAGTAGCCACTGGCGGCCGGGTGAGGACGACAAGCTGCGGCAGCTCGTGGACAAGTACGGCCCGCAGAATTGGAACTCCATTGCTGAGAATCTGGAGGGGAGATCAGGTACTACGTAGCTAGGCTTCTGAATTAACTTCAAACTCTTTCTCCTGATTGTTTCTCCTTCGTTTCTGACGAAGCATATATACATCATGCATGCATGTACATGAAGCAAAACTCTGCTCACCGTACCATGCATGATTTGCACAACATATTTGCTTCTTTAATTAATCTTGTACTATATTTGTTTTGTTCCTTCTCGTTCGTCTAGGCGAATTTCTCAATTCTAGTTCTAGCATAGATGGAGTGACAAGAAAAGTGAGATCGATGTTCACCATCTCGATCATCATTTGTATTTGTACACATATATATGTGGAGAATATTCAGTTGATTTATAAATGAGTAATACGATATAGTACTAGATATATATTCGAATGTCACCTTGGTTCATTTCAAGTTCATGAGGCATCCATGCATCTTTGCCTGCGCTACTTTACAAACTT